CTACCACGCCCGGCTAATTTTTTTTGATTTACTGTAGAGATGAGGTCTCGCCAAGCTGCCCAGGCGGGTCTTGAACCTGTGGGCTCAGGCAATCCACTCACCTTGGCCTCCCAAAGTGCTGGGATTACAGGCTGAGCCACCAAATCCGGCGGGAAGTCTTTCATAGTGAACTTTCTCTAAAACATTTCATTTTATTTAATTTGCAAAAATTCCATTGACATATAATTATGTCATAAAAACAACTATTGGGAAAATGGAGGCATTATTACCAATGTTGAACATTAAACGCAGAACCTGGTACTGTGTATTAGGACGACTTATTTAGGAGGATATCTTCAAATACATACCAGAAAGGACTGGATGTGTAAACTAAGAATCTGTTTTAATCAACTGAGATAACAGTGTTGCAAAAAAACAGAGGCCTACATGTCGGGAGGTCTGGTTTCCTATCTTATATGACTCAAGCAGAGTTGTTTAAGCTTTCTGTCTCAGTGTACTTATTTAAAGAGGATCTTAAACTAGACGATTTGAAATATTCAGAATCCATTATTTCACTTTGCTTATAGGTTTGAACTTTTAAATTTCGGCAAACTATTTTTACACGCATAAAAAATGATATACTTTTAATCTGAAAGTAGTGCTAAAAATTATTTAACAAGTAACCTATAATATCAGCAAGAAAACGATGAGTTACATGGTACTCAAAAACATGATAATCCAAATTTGATTTCAGTTGTCAGTGTTGTTTAAAGCACTTTTCCAATCATAACTCTATAGTTTGCATAATTAATTTTTATCTCTTTGTTGAAACATTTAAAGTAAAAACTATCCCCATTATCATCATATACAAAAGTCAACTCAAAATGGATTAAAGACTTAAATCTAAGACCTGAAACTATGAAACTCCTAAAAGAAAATATTGGAGAACCACTATAGGATATTGATCAGGGCAAAGATTTTTTTGAGTAACACCTCAAAAGCACAGATAATAAAAGCATTAATAGACAAGTTAAAAAGCTTCTATACAGCAAAAAAAACAATCAACAAAGTGAAGAGACAACCTACAGAATGCAAGAAAATATTTGAAAGTTATCCATCTAACAAGGCATTGAAAACCAGGATAAGGAACTCAAGCATCTCAATAGCAATGACAACATATAATCTGATTAAAAATAGACAAATGTCTGAATAGGCATTTCTTAAAAGAAGACATACAGCTGGGTTCGGTGGCTCAGCCTGTAATCCTGTGCTTCGAGAGGCTGAGGAGAGTGGATTGCCTGAGCCCGCGGGTTTGAGACCCACCTGGGCAACTTGGCGAGACCTCATCTCTACAATAAATCAAAAAAAGTCAGCTGGGCTTGGTAGCACATGCCTGTAATTCTGGCTACTCGGAAGGCTGAGGCGGAAGGATCACTGAAGCCCAGCAGGTCGAGACTGCAGTGACCAGGAACGGCCACTGCACTTCAGTCTAGGCGACAGAGTGAGACTCCAACTTTAAAAAAAAAAAAAGAAAAAGAAAGAAAGAAGTCGGGCTCGGTGGCTCAGCCTGTAATCCCGCGCCTTTGGGAGGCTGAGGTGAGTGGATTGCCTGAGCCCGCGGGTTCGAGACCCGCCTGGGCAGTGAGATCTCATCTCTACAATAAACCAAAAAATCAGCCGGGCGTGGTAGCGCGTGCCTGTAATTCCCGGCTACTTGGAAGGCTGAGGCGGAAGGATCGCCGGAGCCCAGCGGGTCGAGGCGG